CTTCATGATGTGAATGATGAAGTGAACCTTCCTGATGTGAATGATGAAGTGAACCTTCCTGATGTGAATGATGAAGTGAACCTTCCTGATGTGAATGATGAAGTGAACCTTCCTGATGTGAATGATGAAGTGAACCTTTATGATGTGAATGATGAAGTGAACCTTTATGATGTGAATGATGAAGTGAAGCTTTATGATGTGAATGATGAAGTGAACCTTCCTGATGTGAATGATGAAGTGAACCTTCCTATGTGAATGATGAAGTGAACCTTCCTGATGTGAATGATGAAGTGAAGCTTTATGATGTGAATGATGAACTGATCATTCGTATTGTTGTTGCATTTCTCCTTGCTGTTGTTATCCTCGGTGAACACAAGTATATCTGTGTCATTGCATCGGCAGACTGATTCTGGTACCACGGTCTTGTCTGTCGTTCATCTGAAGGAAAGATTGCAAGCCAGGAAGAGGAGCCTTGCAACAGCTGGATGCCTAGCAATACGGGAGCCGCCCCGGCTATACTCATATGACACCTGCCTAAAGCATCCGGAAGGAGTTACCCTATAAACTTGGACAGATGACAAGCAGGTGGTGTGGGGCTACACATGCGCCTGTCTCCAGTACAGCAGGAATGAAGGAGGTGTAGCTACCAGCTTCTGGGAGTTGAAAAAGTCTAGATAATACAGTGAACTTGTCCAAGCCTCAGAGACATTCGGCTCGTGCGGAAAGAGCCCTTTCTTGTCCCTGGAGGAGTAAGCAAAAGGACTTTTATCAGGAAAACTATAAAGATTCCTAGGCAGCTAGCTTTCTGATCCAGAGTGTCAGCACTGCTATTCAAAGGGGTAATGCTTGTTGTATCATGGGTACACTGTATTCCAGCTCTGAGGAGCTCCAGGAGATTGTTGACATGTAATTGTTAACAAATACACCTGTGTATTTGTTGTATATCTCAATATACTGTAAGACTGTATATAAACACACACAGCTACTGTGGTGTGTGTGTGTGTGTGTGTGTGTGAGTGGGGAGATAGAGAGAGAGAGAGAGAGAGAGAGAGAGAGAAAAGAGAGAGAGAAGAGAGGAGAGAGAGGAGGAAAGGGGAAGCTCAGCAGGATGACGAAGGTGGGGACCTCACCACTTTACGTCATCACCTACACCGGGGGTTGATGACGGGTTTTCACCCTTGGGGGGGTACCGCGTGGGCCCGAGCGTCCTCGCCACGCACGACTCACCAAAACCCAGACTAAAATTTACCTACTTTCGCACGCTCAGTTTCGTATGCCAGACCGAGGGGGGCTTTCTAACGTTAGCAAGTTAGGTTAAGCTAAGTTAAGATAGTGTCCAGTAGGTTCATTAGTTAGGTGGGGGTAGATTAGGGTTTGATACATAACCATTAAACATGTAATTTAACCTTAAATAAATTAAATCTCTCCCTCTCACTATTAATTCTAAAATTTTTGCAAAAAATTCTAGACGTCATTTAAATTCTTTCTTATGAGAGCCACACAGCTAGTGCCTTACATGAACTAATTTCCTGTAAACTCAACGTAATTGGAGTTAGTCCCTCGTTTAAAAAGGCAGAGCAGGTGGGATATGTTTAAACCCAATATATGCTACAATTGCTGTGTGTTGGGTGGTAAATTTTTGGCCTGTGGTTCTTAACATATCTATTCTTGAAGCTGTGTAATTGAGTTGCCTCCACCACTTGCTTCATCCTGAGACCAAAGAAATACTTCCGAATCCTGTTGACCCATCTGTTCCTTCAAGCTTCCCACCTGTGTCCCCAATCCTGGTCCTCTTGTCTAACAACTGTCCCATACGGTATCCTCTTAAGGTCTTGTATGTAGGTAATCGTAATTTCCGTTGTCTTCTTCCATCAAGGTCGTCAAGTTTATTTTTTGCATTATTTGTGTAAAAACAATTGGTCAAAGATAAGCATGCCAACGCCCATCCTAATTAATTGAGATAACCAAGTAGGTTCTCTCTCCTGGGCCCGATTACCGACAGATGAAATTTTCATTTAATATCATTGTAAAATACACTCTTTAATACAATTTGTTCTGTAAAAATAAAATTATATAAATTAATATATAAAAATATTTTATATATAATATATATATATAATATAATAAAATACATTTTGTTCTATATATATATATCAAAAATATATAATTTTATATTTAAAATATATATAATATATATATTAAATATATATATATATATATAAATATTTTATAAATATAATATACAAACATTTTCTCTACGTCCAGAGCAGGACTCGAACCTGCAAACTATGTACTAGAGTCCACAGTACTTTACCACGGAGCTAGATTGAGGTCTGGCGCCGTGCTAAATTACTGTGGACTCTGATACAGAGTTTGCAGGTTCGAGTCCTGCTGTGGACGTAGAGACAATGTTTGTAAATAATTTAGCCTGTCTGCGAATTGTTAAGCATATATAAAGTGTTTGTTGGGAGTGTTAAGTTGTGTGTTTGTTGTGTTTCAGACCACGCCTTTGGTCACTGCCTCTCAGATTATGGCCACTACAAGGAAGAAGATCTCCACCGGTGAGTCTCGTGCCTCTTACTAACATATCTTCCACATAGTGTATATACACCAAGTAATGTGTATGTCCTGAGTGCGTATGCGTAGTGTGTAGTGTGTGCGTCAGTCTAATATATTTTATATATATAATATATATATATATATAATAAAATATTATATATATATATAAAAAATAGGTGTCTGAATCAGTGTACATACATTGATATATAAATTATTAGAGTATTCTTGATGTGTATAGGTGAACTGCTGCCGTAGTGACCCTCGTGCAGTTGATAGACTTGAAAGCTAACTACCCAGGACCTCTCACCCAATGGTTAGCTAGTAAGGGGGGAGGGAGGGTACTCAGATGGGGGTGAAGGGCTCTTAATCCGAGGAACTGGAGATACCCTGGCAGTAACCAAACCTGATTTGTCTCCCATTTTGACCCCCTACGGACTTGGCGCTTCCTCATGATTATAATAATAATAATAATGATAATAGTAAATTTTAGTACTAATAATAGGTACAGGTAGAAAGGGTAGCAATTAGCACGTATGAAATAAAGAGCAGGTAAAACAAAGGAGAAGAGACCAATGATGAAGGTAAGGGGGGAGAGAGAGAAATCGGAGAAAGCACACTCAAAGAGGAATTGAAAATCCAGAGGAATAGAGATGGAAGATAAGGAGGAGAATCATTAGCAGAAATGAGAGGCAACATGAACTGATGTTAGAAAAACGGTATGTGGCTGCTCGAGTGTAATCCTGCAGTACGTAGATTAGTGAGAGAAGACTGAGAGTGAACATTACGCCGAACATATTAACAGCGGTAACAGAGAGAAGTACGATAGGGTCCATGAGATAGTGATAACAGCGGCAACAGAGATTTACAACAGGGTCAAGAAGCAATGGCAACAGGAGTAACAAACAGTGGTAACAGGAGTAACAGTGACAGCAGGAGTAACAGGGACAACACGAGTAAGAAAGTGACAGCAGGGCCAAGAAAGTGACAACATGGCAAAGTAACAGTGATAACAGGAGTAAGAAGCAATGACAACAGGGGTAAGAAACAGTGACAACAGGAATAAGAAACAATGACAACAGGTGTAAGAAAGGGACAACAGGAGTAAGAAACAGTGACAACAGAGCCATGAGATAGTAACAGCAGCAACAGAAATACCGTGACATTAACAACTGGGCAAAGGAACAGTGACAGCAGGCCAGTAGATAGTGATAAGAGGGACGAAACTAACAGGAGACAGACACTGGCGTTGACAGCAACAGACAGACCAGATATAACATAGACAACAACATCGGCAGCAATAGACAGACCAGAGGTGACATAGGTCACAACGACAGCAACAGACCAAAGGTGACAAGGGCCGTACCAGACAGACAGACAGACAGACACAGACAGTGTGTGGGTGAGGAGCGTGGGTGGGTTGAACTATATATAGCCAACCTCTGGGTGTCGATAGTGAGGGTAGGTAGAAGCAAGTGTTGACGTCACTCCCCCACTCCCTCCCTCCTGTTGCTACTTCTGTTGTTGCTACTGCTCTTATTACTGTTGTTATTGCTGCTGTTCTTACACCTGCTGCTACTGTTCTGCTGTTACTGCTCTTATTACTGCTGTTACTGTTTTTCCTCCCTCCTGTTAGTGTTCCTACTGCTCTTCCTCCTGTTACTATATATAATCCTGCAAACTCCTCCAGTAGACCAGCTTCTTCCATGGAGCACAAACAGTCCCACTGGGACAAACCGATCATGGAAAAAATCGCCAACACAGTGCTCACCAACGCTTCAGGAAAGGACAAAGGTCGTCTCCTGGCAGTGAAGGCACCACACTCAGGAGATTTCCTTCTAGCTGTTCCCAATTCTTTCCTGGGCACTCGACTCGACCCACAGGCTATTCGGATTGGTCTTCCTCTTCGCCTAGCAGCCCTCATACTCACCGGACATAGGTGTATTTGCGGCAGGGTGACAGCTGATCAATTTGGACTTCATGTTCTCGTGTGTCACACATCAGAAGGGAAATATGCGAGACATGAGAAGGTTAACGACATCATAAAGAGAAAGTTTCGCCACAGCCCGTTGCCCAGTTGAACGGGAACCCCAAGTACAGAGGTCTGACGGAAGTCAAAAGCGTCCCGATGCAGCCACTATGCTACCCTGGAAGGATGGTAAGCAGATTGCCTGGGACTACACCTGTGCTGCCACATTGGAAGACACCTACTTGCTATACTCTGAAGCTGAAGGGGGTTGAGCCGCCAGCTACAGGGAGACCCAGAAGACCCGCAAATATGAAGGCCTGACCCCTTGCTATAACTTCATCCCAGTAGGGTCGGAGACTCTCGGAGCACGGGGCAAGTGTGCTCTAAAGTTCCTCAAAGAGCTGGGTGAAAAACTCATCACAGAAACCAGGGATCACAGAGCGGTCAGCTTCATCTTTTACAGACTCAGAGGGTAAATGCCTGCAGCATCCTGGGTACGCGGCCCACCGCCAGGGAGCTGGACGAAGTATTCGAGATGTAGCTCTGAGATGTTATTTATGTTATTCTACTCCTTATTGTAGTTTTGTCAATGTATTTTGTCTTTAAATAAAGTCTACATAGAATGTAGAATATAGGGAGTGGTAGGAGAAGACAATATTCAAACAGCTCTGGGGAGAACCTTGAGTTTTCCCTGAAGTTTATTCTTTTCTCTGAGGATGAGGGTCCCCAGCACAGTTCCAGAGGTGGTACCTCCCTATATATAGTATATATATATATATATATATATATATATATATATATATATATATATATATATATATATATATATATATAATATAATATTATATAACAAAAAAAAGGCACAATACCGTGACTGGAACGATACACAAATAACCCGCACATAAAAGAGAAGCTTAGGACGACACTTCGGTCCGACTTGGACTATTTACAGTCACACTGTGTGACTTTGTAAATGGTCCAAGTCGGACCGAAACGTCGTCGTAAGCTTCTCTCTTTTATGTGCGGGTTATTTGTGTAATATTATATGTTACATATTCCCCTCCCTTGGGTCAAACTTGATTGCCTTCCATTCCCCTAGGTGTTGCATGACTCGTACAGGTTTAGCATTCCCTCATGAGCCTCATGATGATGACGTGTTATATATATATATATATTATATATATATATATATATATATATATATATATATATATATATATATATATATATATATATATATATATATATATATATATATATATATATATTCTCTGAAACACGTCAAGGGGGAAAAAAAAAAGTGGAAATAAGCTTCATTTTGCTTTAGTTAATGGTCGCTTAAGATGCACGTTTTCCTCTGAAATACTTCATAGAAAACGAGTAACTTCCTAATAATAATGATAACAGTAATAATTATTAATTAATTAATTAATTAATGTCTGTATAATAATAATAATAATAATTTAATTAAAAATAATAATGTCCCCTATAATAATAGTTTTTAATTTAAAAATTAATAATATCTGAATGTAATAATAATAATAATAATAATAATAATAATAATAATTTAGGTATGACTTGGGATCAGATGAACTACGACAACTGGAGCAGGAGATGCAGCGGCTCTTCCTGCTGGGTTACCGCTGGTCTCACACCTACACCCAGTGTGTCCTCCAGACTCTGCTACACTCCATACGTCGCAAGTAAGTGTGCAACATCTCCCAGGGTCCGGTGGGTTCTGGAGACCAGCACCAGCAGTTACACGGGGCTGTTCCACCCTCCTCCAATGGGAGTGTTAAGATTTTGTTGGGATTTTTAACCCCGGAGAGTTTAGCCACCCAGGATAACCCAGGAAAGTCGTTGCGTCATCGGGGACTGTCTTATTTCCACTGGGGTCCTTAAATCTTGTCCTCGGCAAGAGTGGAAACACGCTCATTGTTCCCACTCTTGCCGTGGATCGAACCACGGACACTCAGTGTGTGAGGCGAGAGTGTTGTCTACCAGGCCATTGGCCTAGTAGGCCTGTATCTCCATTGACTAAGGATCGAACACTCATAGCTATCTGTTGGCAGGTGCTCCTGACTGTGGTAAACATTTTACAGGGCTTTAAATATTCTTGTCTGGTGATGAAAAGCTTATGTACAGCCTTAATGACCCTAATGTAGTCGATAGGCTTTGAACCCCATTAACCATTAATCCGCCTTCATCGTGGTTATGATTGCCGAGGTGCCTGTAGGGACCTCAGTGAACTTTAAAATAACCGAGGTGCCTGTAGGGACCTCAGGGAACTTTAAAATAACCGAGGTGCCTGTTGGAACCTCGGGGAACTTTTAGGAGATTATTTTGCTGTAATGTAATGGAATTCTTATTTGATGCTGGTTATATTAACTTGATGTGATAGTAATTATTGGTAGTGGTCGCTTTATTAATGGTGGTAATTTTTATTGACTGATTTTAGCCTCGTGTTGTATATAATTTTTATTGCTAAGTGCATTGAATGACCTGCATGGTAGCCAGGCAGCTCTGTAATCACTACTACTACTACTATTACTGCTGCTGCTACTGCTACTACTGCTAGTACTACTACTACTACTACTATTACTACAGTTGCTGCTACTTCTCCTTTTAATGGTATTACCACTAATAATACCACTACTACTAATACTACTGGCACATAGATTAACTCTTATAAAGAAAAGAGACATGTGGCAGAGCCAGATTTTAATGTGACGTTTCGCCCTGTATAGAGCTTCATCAAGTTATATTTCGCTCTGTTTAGAGCTTTGCCAAACCATGTTTCACCCTGTGTAAAGCATTATCAAGTCATGTATCCGTGCAAAGTTTTATCAAGTCACGTTTCGCTCTGTGTAGACTGCAGAGGTTTTATCAAGCCATGTTTCGCCATATGTAGAGCATTATTAATAAAAACATTGATCCTCACCCGTTTGTTTACTGCTGTCAACGGGCGGTCATTATATCTGTTGATCTTGTTAGGCAAAGGTCGTCAGAAAACAGGACAAGTGTTTCCTGACGCGGGTCTTAGTCATAATGATGACGTACAGCTGGAACTTTTGGTTATCTGATCGAGGCCTTCCGCTGGCTTATCCCTCTACCCCTTTTTAAAAATCATGGTTATTGATAACTATTTTTTATATATTTGATGATTGACCTTGTATTGTTGTCCCCAGGAGTGAGTTTGACATCAGCAACTGCAACGGCGACCTGGACCAGGATCTAGAAGGAGCCCTGAGGGCCATAGAAGGAGAGGAACTGGTGAGTAGGGAGTAGTGTACTTACCTAGTTGTCGTTACAGGGGTCGAGTCACAGCTCCTGGCCCCGCCTCTTTACTGGCCGCTACTAGGTCACACTTCATGCTCCATGAGCTGGTGGATAGGAAGATGGGTGAGAGACGGTGAATGAGTGAGGCTAGTGAGTAAAGAGAGGGAGGGAGAGAGGAAATGAATGAAAGATGGAGTAAAAGAATGAAGTGTGTGGTACAAGAGAGGGAGGAAGTTCCATGGGAAGAGAAAGTAATAAAACAGAGAGAGAGAGAGAGAGAGAGAGAGAGAGAGGAGCAGAGGGAGAGGCTGGAACTGACAGTGGGTAGACTGTGAGGCAGTGGCAGATTCAGCTGTTGTAATGAAGAAAGTAAAGACAAATGGTGTATTGGAGGAGGAAGACAGATGGTATTACGAACACAGGTAATAATGGCCTGTTGACCTGGTCGTAATGGGTTGAAACGAAATAAACACAGCAGTAGTATTTAACGTATATTTTCCTTCACCAAATGTTTATGTACATTTATGTACACTATGTACAGGAGTTGGATATAAGTGTACCACACGGTGGTAAGGCAAAGGCAGAAGCTTGAGAGAGAGCACAGTGCTTCAACCAGCAGAGGCAAGTCTGGCAAATGTTGACCACAAGTGATACCACATCGTCTCAACACTTGGCAGGCTCGTCTGTGATTGGTCAATGAACCAAGATACTGATTTAACGATGGGGCTCCATAAGATCGTTAAACCCTTAGCACCCGGTTCGCTGGTTGGGAGGCAGATTGTGTGGAAGTGTGTACATACGCCGAGTAAAGTGTAACTTGCTCTTTGTATGCCACAGATGGTGTACTGGAGGAGGAAAAGATAGATGGCGCACTAATAACGTTTATAAAACTTGCAGGAACACTGTTTTCTTTTAGCTTATAATCCTAACGTGTTTAGCGCTCCCACATGATTAATAATGTTATCACATGTTAACATCGGAATTATCCTAAGTTTGTTGTCAAGCTGTATATTAATGAAGATGTATGAAGTGTATGAGAGGTGAGGATGTATGAGGATGTGTATGAGAGGTGAGGATGTATGAGGATGTGTATGAGAGGTGAGGATGTATGAGGATGTGTATGAGAGGTGATGTATGAGGATGTGTATGAGAGGTGAGGATGTATGAGGATGTGTATGAGAGGTGATGTATGAGGATGTGTATGAGAGGTGATGTATGAGGATGTGTATGAGAGGTGATGTATGAGGATGTGTATGAGAGGTGATGTATGAGGATGTGTATGAGAGGTGAGGATGTATGAGGATGTGTATGAGAGGTGTATGAGGATGTGTAATGAGAGGTGATGTATGAGGATGTGTATGAGAGGTGAGGGTGTATGAGGATGTGTATGAGAGGTGTATGAGGATGTGTATGAGAGGTGAGGATGTATGAGGATGTGTATAAGAGGTGAGGATGTATGAGGATGTGTATGAGAGGTGAGGATGTATGAGGATGTGTATGAGAGGTGAGGGTGATGTATGAGGATGTGTATGAGAGGTGAGGATGATGTAGGAAGAGGAGAATGTTGAGAGGTGTTTTCTCTCTCAGGAGCAGGTTGACCCCCGCGACCTGGCCATCGTTCGCTTCACTCCCTCAGCCACGGACCCTCACTCAGCCTACGCTGACGAGGTCTACTTCCCACCCATCAAGGATCAGCTGCATGACGACCAACATGACCTCTCTGACGACCACCATGACGACCCCCAGGTGGGTACTAGGCGACCTGCCGGCTACACTGGTCAAAATCATCAAACTTGCCCAATACTGTCCCAGTTTCATCTGATTTCAGGGAAGTTTAGTCTCTGTCAAATGCGTTAAAATATACATTTCTTCTGTGTGTTTTTTTTCCATTTCTTCTCTGTGTGCTTTTTTAGGTACAGGAACTGCAGCTTAACTCTCTGACGAGATCTAAAAGCTATAACTCACCTCTTGATGAGGACCAGGAGCTGGAGATCACCTTCAGGAGTTAAATTTACCTTTAACACCCAGACTGGGACCAGGAGCTGTGGATCAACACCCTCATTTGAGAGATTTGCTTGCAACTCTGTACAAATTTAAACGAACACGCGTGAGCCTTACTTATGGTTATATAATAATAATAATAATAATAATAATAATAATAATAATAATAATAATAATACTTCATGTTAAGTGCTAAACCCATGAGGGTCATGCAGCGCAAGACACGGTGGGGGTTTGATCCTCCGTCTTCCGAGCGCCAAACATATGCGCTTCCTGTTTGTGCTCTAAGAAAAGGTGTCAACTCAGACTGGAGACGCGTGTTAGAGAGGCGAGTGCGTGAGTGAAGGTCAGAGTTATGTCAGTCATTACCAGGGTTAATGTTGAACTTTGTTCACTCTTGACTAACACATTACCAGGGTTAATGTTGAACTTTGTTCACTCTTGACTAACACATTACCAGGGTTAATGTTAAACTTTGTTCACTCGTGACTAAACAATTACCAGGGTTAATGTTGAACTTTGTTCACTCTTGACTAACACATTACCAGGGTTAATGTTAAACTTTGTTCACTCTTGACTAACACATTACCAGGGTTAATGTTAAACTTTGTTCACTCTTGACTAACACATTACCAGGGTTAATGTTGAACTTTGTTCACTCTTGACTAACACATTACCAGGGTTAATGTTAAACTTTGTTCACTCGTGACTAACACATTACCAGGGTTAATGTTGAACTTTGTTCACTCGTAACTAACACATTACCAGGGTTAATGTTAAACTTTGTTCACTCGTGACTAACACATTACCAGGGTTAATGTTAAACTTTGTTCACACTTGACTAACACATTACCAGGGTTAATGTTGAACTTTGTTCACTCTTGACTAACACATTACCAGGGTTAATGTTGAACTTTGTTCACTCTTGACTAACACATTACCTGGGTTAATGTTGAACTTTGTTCACTCTGACTAACACATTACCTGGGTTAATGTTGAACTTTGTTCACTCTTGACTAACACATTACCTGGGTTAATGTTGAACTTTGTTCACTCTTGACTAACACATTACCTGGGTTAATGTTGAACTTTGTTCACTCTTGACTAACACATTACCAGGGTTAATGTTGAACTTTGTTCACTCTTGACTAACACATTACCTGGGTTAATGTTGAACTTTGTTCACTCGTGACTAACACAGAGTTGATGTAGAACAAACTTAACATAATGGTAGACTGGGAACACTTAAAGACATCTTATGACAGTTGAAGTTATCAACTTTACGGTTGATTGTCAACTCTTATAATACTCGTAAGAAAATTTCAGGTTCCTCCCACCTGTTAATTTTATATCCTCAGTCTCAGTTATCTCGTTTACAATAAGTAAGACACATGTGCAACGTTTAGGCATCTTTATTCCGAAACGTTTCGCCTACACAGTAGGCTTTAGTTGAGTACAGAGGAGGAAGCAGAAGCAGTGGAGATGCAATCTTAGTGTTGCACATGTTGCATATCTGCCCGTCAGTATTATATAGCGGAGGTATATACAGAGGAAGGTCGCAGTGAGCAGGATTCAAAACCACATCGGGGGGTCAACGGCCATACTACGTTGAACACACCGCTTCTCAACCGATCAGCAAGGTTTAGCAACGTTGAATTTGGTTAGTACTTGGATGGGTGATCTGGGAACAGCAAATGCTGCTCTCATCAATCAATAGGTCTGGTCATGGACCGGGCCGCGGGGACGTTGACCCCCGGAACACCCTCCAGGTATATATCCAGGGGAGTCTGGCAAGTAACTCAAGTAATGCTCTAGACCACTCGGCCACAGATGCTACATAAGCTGGGCAGCCTGGTTTACAAGCCAAGGTTTCTTCCCAGCCTTGTTATATTAATTTACTATAAATTTAAACCTCTTCAAGGGGGGCTCCTTGGTGTGGTGAAGAGGCTCTTGGTCTGAGGAATTAGACCTGTCGGTCTACTTCCTCAGACCGAACCTAATTACCCCCAATCCCCATTTCCCTATCCCATCCTCCCCTTTTTTCTTTCCTCCTCCTCCCCACCCCTCCATTTTGCCCTTCCTTTTTGGCCTTTGGGGTTTTTTTTTTTCCCCACAGGCACGCTAGTTCCTGGGTAGGGGAAAGGGTACCGGGGTCCATCCCATTCCGTTGAGGTTCTTGGCAGTGGCGTAGTTTGCCGTGGAATCTGAATTGCCTGGGGATGTCCTGATCCCTCTCCGGTATCCCGGAGGGTGGGCTTTGGGTGTCTTGGGGCGACGGGTGTATCTCTGGAAGCCACCTTTCGGATTCTGGGGTGGTGCCGAAGGAGGTATGCTTTTGGGGATTTCCGGCCACCTCTTTTTTTGTCCACCGGTTAGCTCGGCAGATGTGAGGTTGCTATCCGGATTGCCGGTTTACTGGCATGACGGGTAGGGTATGGCCGGGTTCCATGCTGCATCTGCGCTACCTACTTGCGGTGCTGGGGTTTCCTCTTGGGCGCGGGGGAGTTTTTCTGGCCCTTTAAATTCCCCCTAGGGAACTATCCTTCCCCGGTCCCCCTTTTTTTATTCTTTTTTTTTATTTTTATTTTCTTTTCTTCTTTCTTTTTTTTTCTTAAAACAAAAAGAAAAAGTAACCTAACCATGGCAGCCCTAGTCCATGAACCTGCTACCCCCGGGCCCCTTTTGATACCGACCCCGTTTGACCCCGCCTGTCTTTGGACCACTCTTCGGACACCCTCATGCCTCTGTACCTCTTGCCGGTGCTGTTTCCTCACCTGCTTCAGGTACTGAGGCCTCGACTGACTCCTTTGATTTGTCTGACCTTCGCTCTCCTCTGACTATGCTTCTGGCCTCTCCCTCTACGGTGCAGCAATTTTCGAATCGCCGGGCCCCATTCCACGTCGGACCAACTCTGGTCCCACACCTAAACGCCAATGACAATTACCTGCTGATGATTACTTCCCCACCTTCTCGTTCTTCTCAAAAAAGATGACATGTCCTTCACTACCTTTCCACGCTCAGTTTCAGACTGCACAATGGACTAAATTTTTCCCACTTTACGACCGACTTCCTCTACTGCCTATCTTTCTGACCACAGTATTGGCAAGGCACTCCTACGCCATGTTGGTAAAGATATTTCTTTTCATGCTCTTAAGAGCGGTACGCGCATTGTCACTGTACAGAATGCTTTCCCAGGCTCATGAGCTTTCTCGTTTTTTCCCATATTTGATACTGTTCCTGTAACTATTGAAAAGCATCATTCCCTCAATTCTTGTAGTGGTACCATCATTCTGCCCCATACCATAGTTCAACAAAATTTCCAGACATGTGGCACTGACATTCTTGAACAGCTGGAACTCCAAGATTTCCCAATCCTCAAGGTAGACACTCATGTTCTTCCTGCCCGCGGGCGGAGACGATACCCTAGCAATGTGGCTCGTTTAACTTTTGACAGCTGTGAACTCCCATCCTCAGTTTATGTAGCAGGACATCGGTTACAAGTTCGAAAGGTGATCCCTACACCGCAACAGTGTAGAAATTGCTGGCGATTTGGCCATCCAGCGAAATATTGCAGATCTATCGCCGAATGCCCAGTCTGTGGTGCCAATGACCATTTTAATACGTCTTGCAATCGCCTCCCTCTTGCCTTAATTGTCATGAGGCTCACCCTTCGTACTCTCGCCGTTGTCAAGTCTACTTAAACGAGCGGGAAATCTGTTACCTCAAAGAGGCAGAAGGTCTCCCTTATGGGCCCTGGCAGTTTCTGATCTCCCCCTCCAAGGGGGACTACCTCGTGTTTTTTTATTCCCATGTTTCAAAACGTCCCCCCACTTCTGGTATCCCATCTTCTGCACCCACCTCTGTGGTTACCTCTCCCATAGTCACTCCTGTAGCTAATCTTTTGCTGGGCCTCGGCCAGACGTCCCTACTTCAAAAGTCTCAGTCTGATCTCGCTTCTTCGTGTTCTCTCTCACAAGCCTCAGTAGCGACGAGATCTCGTATGACACCTCCTCCCAATCGTCCCTCTACTTCTCAAAAGTCAAAAAAAAAGGTCCGTTAACACCTCCTACCCATCTTCCACCTCCTCATTTTCCCTTCCCTGTCTCTGTACCTGGTTCTCCCCCTCTCACTGGCTCGGTTACAAGTGTAGAGGTTCACCCTCCTCCTCGTACTGTACCTTCCTCCCCTGTTCCCTCCCAAGTTTCTTCCTCTTCTGCCACCTCCCAGGTTTCTGCCTCTTCTGTCCCATTCCACGCTTCTCCAGTTCCCTCCACCCTTTCGCCCCCCCTGCCTTGGTACAGTCCATTACAGTTCCAATCTTTACTCATCCTCCCCCTACCATTTCCAAAATTGTCTCCCATACGACGTCTCTGAATTCTGAAACACTTGAAGCAATCTCTGAATATATTGCAGAGACCAAACCATCAATGGACACTGATCCACCCTCCGCTCCTTCTCTCTCCTCTACTCCATCTGTGCAACTCCTTTCTTCACAGCGCACCGTTCCTTCACTGCTTGAACGTTTTCCACTGCCTCCGCATGTGGACTTTTCTAACCCCTCTAGTCCGTAGGAAACCTTACCTGCGGATTTCAGGTATCTTTATCATTGCCAATCATGGCCTATTTACAGTGGAATATATGCGGCCTCAGGGGTAATCGGGGTGAGCTTCAGATGTTACTCTCCCAGTTTTCCCCTGTTGGTGTTTGCTTACAGGAACCAAAATTACACTCTGCTGTTATCTCTC